AAATGCCTAAGATATCGATGTTTATATGTTCCATTTCATTTTTGACAATTTCTAATTTTCCTAGATTCATACTTTGTATATTCCATGTTCCTATTATTAATAGACTACAGCTGTTTCTCTTCATTTTGAGTTGTGCCCCATCAGCAAATGAAGGTCCCACGGGCTTTTCTCCCACGGGCTTTACTCCATTTGTGTTATCATGGTCAACTGTTCTTTGAGGAGGCAGCTCTTCCCCAGTCACATTTTGAGTGACTTCTTACCTGATGGGCTCCTTTCCAGCACTATATCTGACAGTGTTTCTCTGCTATTCATAAGGTTTTTAGTGACTAAATATTTGGAAGTAGTTTGTCACTCCTTCTTCCTAGTCTGTCTTTGTCTGGAAGCTCATCTGAAACCTGTCCACCATGGGTGATCCTGCTGGTATTTAAAATACCGGTGGCATAGCTTCCAGAATCACAGCAACTCACAAGGCACCACAGTACGACAAACTGACAGACAAACTGACAGAAAGAACATCTAAATAAATGGCAATATTTATAGTCATGGATTGGAAGTGCTATGGCTCTGTAGGATAGGGACTGGGCTGCTAACCACAAGGTCAGCAGTTTGAGCCCAGGAGAGAAAAAAGAAGTTTGCTGCTCCTATAAAGATTCACAGCCTCAGAAACCCTATACAGGGTCACTATGAGTGGGAACCGACTCAACGCCACTTAGCAACAACAACAAAGTATAAATGTAGACTTCCATCTTTGGTCCTGTTTGAGTCTCCTGACTCTTATTTTAACTTCCCACACATTTCCCAAAGGTGTTTCAGCATCTCTACCCCACCTGCTGAGTCTAGGACCTCTTCTTGGTTGACTGGAGGACCCCAACTTTACCTTCTTAACTTTTGTCCCCTTCTACTTTCCAGTCTCAATAATGTATCTACATCTGCTATCTATAACGACTTCCCATGAGCTAGCTGTAGGATAAAGTCTTACCTCCTTACGCATGCAACCATTCTGAAAGAATGGTTATACATATGGAAATGGGGAGGTGCCCAATATATATGAGGAGGTCTTCAAAAATATATATGAAGGGGCTTCAAAACGTTTGTGGAAAAATTCCATTATCTTTCAATTCCATCTTTCCATGGTGGGGCTGTGGGTTAATGAGCTGGACAAGGACGGTGGTTCAAGCTCATCAGTTGCTACTCGGAAACCCTATACAGGTTCGCTATGGGTCAGAACCGACTTGACGGCAATTAACAACAAAACGATGGGCCTTTTGAAGCACCTTCATACTGTTCATTGAAAAAGGAATTGCAAAAAAAATGAGGAGGAAGAGGTGAAGAGGAAGGAGGAGGAGGAAGAGGAAGGAAAAAGGAGAAGACAGATGAAAAAGGAGCAGGATATGCTGGACATGTGGCCAGAGATGGGTAAGGATCACGTGGAACCT